ATTGTGTTGGTTGGGGCACTTTGGTTCTCCTCTGTGTGGTCTCTCTCAGTGCTCTCATTCATAGTCTAGCCCAAGCTTCTTTACATGACAGCTGTTTTCCAAGAGACCAAATATAAAGCTACTAGGTCTCTTTTAAGGGCTAGGCTTGGAACTAGTGCACCATCACTCCAACTACAGTCAGTTGGTCACAGTAAGTCAAAGGGCCAACCCAGATTCAAGGAGAAAGAAGATAAAATAGACTCCACCTCTTGATGAGACTAGTAGTGTGCAGGTACAGGGATGGAAGCAATTGTTGACAGTCTTCTTCAGAGATAGTCTACCACAGTCACATTAAAACATGCTCAGGGCTTGAAATTTCTTTGATAGGCTAGTCCACAGACTGAAACTAGATGATCACTACGGTGACCATGTAACCTACATGGTTACAAGTTAGAACATTTTTGAGCATAAAAAGGAGCACTATTTTAAGTATGCCAGAACTCTCAGATATAACTAGATTGTCTCTGGTAAACTAGAACCTATGGTTACTCTAGTTATAATTTATCGAGGTTTTTTTCCATTTCCTGTTTATCATCACCCTAAAGGTATAGTCCTTTGGGGTTTTAATTTTTGTGGTAAGCAATTCCTGTTAGACTTTATATGGTATGTAGGCTTGGTATGTAGGACTTTGATTTCCATCCCCTTTGCCTTGGAGGCTATCTAAACAGAGTCTCATGTTCTCTGGATTGGCTCATGACCTCAGAGATTCTTGTTTTTCCTGTATTTGTAGTTTGTAATTCCTTATTATCTTGTGGTCCTTTTGATACTTTAAAGATTTTATTGACAGGGCACCATGGCTCCCGCCTGTAATCCTAGCACTCTGGGAGGCTGAAGTGAGAGGATCACTTGAGATCAGAAGTTCAAGATTAGCCTGAGCAAGAGTGGAGACCTTGAAGACTTTTGGTCTCTACCAAAAATAGAAAAAATTAGCCAGGCGTGGTGATGTGGGCCTATAGTCCCAGCTACTCTGGAGGCTGAGACAGTAGGATTACTTGGGCCCAGGACTTTAAGGTTGCTGTGAGCTAGGTGATGCCACTGCATGGGGTGACAGAGCAAGACTCTGTCTCAAAAAAAACACTTTTATTAAGCTTTTATAGTTGTTTTCAGTGGAAGAGTTGATCTAAATAACTTACCCCACCATTTTAGAGAATAGAGACAAGTATAATTAATGTACTTGACAGAACAGAGGAAAAAGAACTGAAAGAATTACTTAATATCCAATAAGTGCTTTTTTTCCACCTGAAATATAAGTTCCCAAGAATTTCTTCTAAAGTTGAGAGGTGAGAATATAGATGTGAGCAAGGAATTAAAGAATTGAAGTCATTATATTATCATTTTTTAAAACTCCATGTCTCACTTTTTGATGATCTGTTGATTCTCTGTCATGATGAATTAGGAAATTATTTTCCTCAAAACAGTTTCTCAATTTTTCTTGGTTGTATTATCACTTTGTCAAGGCTTTAAAGACTAACATTCAATAACCAATTCCCCTGCTGCTTAACCTTCGTATAAGTTATAAATAAATTTTTACTTCTTATCTTAAGATCATGTCTTAAGATCATGCTATCTTATTTTTGAATTATTTATTTTTATTCCTTATTTTCTAGATTTTAATGTTGGCTCCCTTTTTTAAAAAAATGGTTCAGGGGTGAGTTTTACAAAACATAAATAGCTTCTTTTCAGGTCTACTGTGAAATTTTAGTCTACACTATAGATTCATTGTTATTTTGTACCTATTTTAAACAAGTAGTTATAATTTTCTCATTTGTTTCAGTGTGTGTATGTATGTGTGTGTGTGTGTGTGTGTGTGTGTGTGTATATATATCTTCCTTTCATTCCTCAAAGCAGCATTCTAGCTGGTCATTAAATATTTATTTTTTTGAGCTGGCTGTATACTCTATAATTGCTTTTGTTGAAGAATTGATTTACTTATTGAACTATACTTTTCTTTCCTTTTCTCTCTTTCCCATACTTCCTGTCTTTATTTCCTTTGATGTTGAAATCTAATTTTTAATAAGTACATATTTTTGTCTTAATTGTAAGCTCTGATCTAATTTGATCCTTTATATCATATAAAAAATGATTGCTCATTTTGTTTTTCTCTGGTTTTGTGTTTGTAGCAAAATGGATTGTACTGTTAATTATTTTGACAGGCTTATTATGGATATCTGTCATCTAAATTACCTTAATTTATTCAATAAAAATTTATTACTTTTTCCATGTATGTCTTAATGCTTTCTTTAGAAGGGTATTGAATTGAACAAGGCATTAATTTTTTTAAAAAAGAAGTATAATTTTCAACTGGTAAATTGCCAGTCTCTTAATTGGTCTTTCTCCTAAGTAGTCACCAAAAACCAAAACTGATATTCAAATATCATGGCAATAATTCTCTCCAAAAATCTCCCTTCCTTCTTCTTGCTGGCTGCCTTATGATCATATAACCAATTTAGTGCTTGGAATTTGAACCCAAGTCCTACTCTAGAGCCCAAGTATGTTTCACAGTGCCATGTTTTTGTCATAATATGTCAGTTCTGTGGATTGTACAAGTCATAAAAAAAAGTTAACCTCCTTCTCAGCAAACCTGATATTTGAAAATCTAATTCACCAGTAGACAAATTTGTGATATTCTTCACTCTTGTGAGGTGGATGAGTCATCTCATGTTCTTTAAGTGGCATGACATTAAAAATATTATTTTTCCAAAATTCAGTTTTCACTCAAGATTTTAGAATAACTGTATTGTGAGATCATATTAAGTGAGCCAAACCTATATTTTCTTATTCTGTATTCCACAGAATACCAAAATTCTGTATTCAACACCTACCTCATGAATGCCTGTTTTACTGACAGATTCTAGGTGTTAGAGATACAAGTGGCCTGCAAAACCAGACATTATTCCTGTTGGCTCTGGTGCCCGTATGCCAGAGTTTGAAATCGTGGTTCCACCTCTTAACAACTATGTAATCTTGGCCAGGTACTTAGCACTCTAAGTCTTTGTTTCTTCATATGTAAGAAGAAAAGAATAACAGTACTTTTCTTAGGGTTATTTGGGGAATTAATTGAGATAATATATGTTTGTAGCATGGTGGGCATGGTATCTGACATGTGATAAAACAATAAATGCCTCCTTTTATTATCATCTTAAAAATAGCATTTGAAATACAAATATTTTCTTTTAAAATAAAGCCAAACCGAATAAGCATATTTAATATCATCATCTTCATTCTGGGATAGTAGTCATATTCCTGGTATTATGTGAAAAGTCTCATAAATGTTTCATTGTTCCTCATGCTACTTTATATACATTTTAAACGTATAGTAAGAGCTGTAAGCTTTTCACATTTTAACGATGATGCTAGAAAATCAGTGTGTGGGATAATTCCAAATACAAGAGAATATATCATGGCAACTATAGTAACCTACTTTTGTAACCTTTCTTTTCAAAAAGTAAGATAAAGAGTCACTTTGTGATTTGTTGTGTGAAACAATTTCATGAGAAAAAAATTTGAGAAATTCTTCAGTGACTTGCAAACAGAAATATTTTTGAAAACTTCACTTTAATTTATAAGTGAATTTTGTAGGATTTCTTGAGTTTCTTGAAGGAGAAAATCCTAAAAATAAAATCTAGATATTTTCTATACACGTACAGCACAAGATTTAGGCACTTGAGGATGTAAATCCACATGCAAGTAATTTTTAATTTAAATTGGTACATTTATAAAAAGTTACAAGGGCAATGCAATCATCTAGTTAAATTTCATTCTAGATGATTAAATTCTTTTTAGAATATTATGATTTATCAGAAGCTTGAGGAAGAATTAAATGTACCCAGTTATGATTTTTTAGAGATGCTACATAAAAATGAATCTGATTTCTTCAATAGTTTCTATCAATAATAACTTTGTTGTAACAGTTAAATTCTCCTTTTGTGATTTGATAAAAACCTTCCTTGTAATACTTCTAAGGAGATTTGTTCAGCTCTATCTCATGTAAAAAGATATGTCAAGGCTGTTTTTATTATCTGTAATGAAATCTTGTTAGAGAAAAATCTTGCTTTGACATTAAATCACTACCACTTTTTTCATCACTAAAGTCCAAATGCCAAGGGGAAAAAAATCAACTTGTAAGCTGGAGAGGCATATAAACAGCTCAATTATAGTGACTGTTAAAATAAATTTTACTATTTTTTCCTGTTTTCATAGTCCCATTAAGTCCTGATTAAGCCATTTTAGAGTACGTAAGGGATAATTTAATGTTTTAGTATAAACATTTTTTCTTCGTATACATAAAAGAAGATTGTGTAGCTGATGTGGGTTTTTTTTAATGTGAATTTTTTAAAGGATTTTTATTGTATAATAGATTTTTAAAATTTTCTTTTAGTATGTGCAGCTAACTTTTATATTACTTTAGATGTTGTAATTGGAAGTCAGTTATAGTTCTGGGAATGAATAATATTTATACTAAGTTTGTATGAGTAATCAAACTTTTGGCATATATGCTAATTTAACTGTGTAACCTCAGTCAAGATTTATAGAAATCTTTTGTTGAAGTTTATTAAAATTAAGATATAGTTACCAGTTTTAATGATTCAATTTAATTTATTTTTTTCCTCTGCCCTGAATGATCTGCAGGAATGGTTTAATTTTAAAGGAGCAAATTTAAGATATAATTTGTTCTTAGAAGCTAAGAATAAATAGTATAGAAATGATTTAGTAGTTCTTTGGGGGGGTAAAAATATACTCACATTTAAAGTTAAGTTGATAGATTATTTCATTGAAACAGCCATATGTAAAACTTAATTTTAAAAAACTAATTTCTTGTTTAGCATATTTAGCACAACTCAGTGAGTCTGAGATTTAGAATCACAATAGGTATTTAAGAAGTCAATAAATTTCTTTCATAAGAGTAATTGATAGTCATTTAATATTTTTGAGCTTGAAAAATGAGAAGATATTTAGACTGATTCTGAAAATGAACTCCTTTATTATTCTAATAACATACCATGTACCATATTGAGACTAAGTTATCCATGCTTTGTGGGAGCTCAGCTTGCAAAGAAATGAATTTGCTGGGTTTTGTCACTTGCAAGATCAGCCTGGGTTACTGAAGCCTGCCAGTCAACTACATCAAATACATAATATTGTGGGAAATCATTAAGTAGTACTATTTGTTTTTAAAGTGACACATAACTTTTTATTGTAATTATTAATACAAGCAAAGAAGCTAGCAGTGTTTTTATTCTTTTATTGTCATCAAGCAGTTTTCTAGGAATTTTCAGCAAAATATCAATTCAAGTATAATTCTAGTATGAAATACAGAACTGTGAGTTAGCTTTTGGTGCCTGCTGTGAAAAATCAAATCAATAGCTTTTTTCAGTCTCATTTTATTTCACTGTAACTCAGTTTTAGGTAGGTCTGCACATCTATTTTGCTCTCAGTGATTAATTTTACCAGTTCAGTTTTTTTGTAGATTTTTGCCATAAGTAGAAAGGATTTTTAAATCTTATAGCCCCTTAAAATATTTTACTAGCATTTACTTAAATGAACGATAATGTACATGCTTGTTTTTTGTGTAAATACCCAAGACATTCTGGTTGAAAGACAGCTTAAGGAAAAATAAACAAATAGCAAAAGCATTCAGTCTTTATTTACAGTATATAGAAGATTACTGTTTTCATTTTAGGTGGAAGAGTCTGATCAGCAGGGACGCCCCAGAAGAATGACATCTTTAGCGATAGAATTTACATACCGTTAGCTCACAGTAATTGATTAGCAGCAGGGCTCTGTAGTACAGAGCTAGCTGGGTACGTTATTTGGGATGCCTTTGATGCTGTGATTTTCCGAAGCTTGCTGGCTGCATGCTTGTTGCCTTTGTTTGTGATACAGGTAATTACTTGATAAAATGAAGTGCATCGCTGTGAACAATTGACCCTTTGGAACAATCCAGGCTGGTCAGCAGTCTGAAGCCACACTTTAAAGCCATCATTATTGCCTCAAACTTAAGAGTTTCCAAGGTACAGACAAAGGTGTTGTCTTCCTTTAGTACAAGTCGAGTGCCATTTTCAGACTTTATGAAGTATTTAAATTGAATGATATTTGACGATATTGAAAACTCCTCCGGAAATCCATCCAGCCTGCTCTTGGACACCAGAACAATGCGAGATTTTATTTTTGATATGAAATCAGGAGCATTACAGAAAATTCTCAGTCCTTGTGAGCGATCGTGGTTATCTGTTATTTCCAAGAAAGTAGTCTCTCTGGGTGTTAGCTGTTCTTTTTCCCACCTGGATTTCACTTCCTCTGCCAGTCCCTTGAGCTGAAAGAATTCTGCTTCTTGTGCAAGAAGTTGATTTTCACGAAACCCTTCGGGCAATAGAAGTTCTCCATTTCGTAGGAAGTTTAGGACATGCCTGAAGAGGAGCCCATCCCTGTCTATGAAATAATGACCATCAGCATCAAACGGGCAGAGGATCTTTCCATTTACTATACCTTCAAGAAAAGTGTCTGGGTACTTGGTCAGTGTTTGTTTTTGAGTGATGTATAAATATCCACCAACGTTGAGGGTCATCAGTGTGGATTTGCAGGTCTTTCCTTGTTCAGTATCTTCCAGGCTGTTGTGTTTCCCTTCATACTCCTTTTCTTTTTCTCTTCTGTTTATTTTCCGCTCCATTTTTTGAAGAAGCTGCTTCAGCTTGTTCTTCTTGGCTTTGAGATTTTTAAAAAAGAAACACTACCACACAAACACGCCTTTATTCAGCCCCAGCCTGGTGATGGAATGGAAATGCTGGCAGCATTGCCTGCGCTGTCAGCTCGGTTTTGCAGTAGGTGGCGTCTCAGCTATGTATGCAGGAGCTTTCTGGAGTAAGACGGAAAAGAAAATTTGCATTTAACTGTATCAGGGAAGGGATTTGTTGTGAAAGGATTTTCATGTATATTTGGAGTAATAAGAGTTATTCAGAATAAATTGAATTTCCTCTTGCCAGCTAAACAGTTACAAATGTTTAATTCTCCAGCCAGATGTACATTTTTACCCGTTTCTAAATGTCTTTTAAGTTATTTTTTAAATCAGGCAGGCTTAATATTGAATAATACTATTGTCTTTTGGAAAATAATTTGTATTAAAAAGTAAATCGTAAGTAGGAACCTAAGGAGCTAGGTGTGTAGAATTTTCTTTCCCACAAAAAGTCACACGTTTCACAGTGGTGTAGTCATCTTGAGACTCAGATAAGAATATTTAAACCTGTTATTTGTGACACTACGCTTAAATTTAATTGGATGTGCATGTGATTCTGATTTGGATCTTTGTTAAGTGAGAAGAAATTTTCTTAACATCCTTTTACCCTAAAGATTTTTTATCTTTTTATCGTTTTTATCTTTTTTATCAAATAGGCTTTGCAGTAATTGTTTACATATTTTGGTTAAGATTTTGGAAAATTCATAAACTTGTTTTATCCTAAACCAGCTTTAGTGCTGAACAAAGACTTGGACTACTATAAAAAAAGACTGTGGTGTGTGTGTGTGTGTGTATGTATGCACACATGTTAGAAAGAAAGGAAAAGGATGGAGATTCAAAATACTTACTATAAAATAATGTCGTGGCTAAGTTTTTGTTTCTTGTTTGTTTTACAAAGGACAAAAGAAACAACCAAAGCTTAATTAAGCCTTTAAAAAAAAATTCTTGAGAGCTGGAACATTGTGAGTGTGGTGTCCCTTCACCCTCTTTTTTTCTTCCTTCCCTTGTAACTTGCCTCCCAGGTCTTTTTAGTGTTGTGAGCTTTCACTTCCAGAATTTAAAGTCCCAGTGGTAAGAAATGTGAACATTGTCCCCAGTACACTATTATTTGACCTATCTGCTAAATTATTCTGAGGAACTATGTTGTTCTTAGAGTTAGACTTTACATTTTATATTAAATTGATTTATATTTCTCTTACATGAACGGTATTTTTAAATTTTCAGCTGTATGTTGATATAGAAGTGGTTGGAACAGATTCTTTTAAAAATGCCTACTTTTTATTTTCTCTAAACAATGTTAGATTTTCTTCAGATACAAAAAATTATATCCTTAATTATAGCAATTTTGAATTTAACATTTTGTATCATTGAGATTATCAGTCTATTGAACTAGAAAACTATGACATAATATTTCTAGAGCTGAGTTTTTGCTTAGAGACCATGAAATTCAGAATCTTCCTCATTTCACCAAAGGTAAAAATGCATTCCAGTGAATTTTTAGTGTTTTTTCTAGGACTTTTACAGCTTGTTAATGGCAAAGCCAACACTTAACACTAAAGCTTCCTCTCAGTCCTGCAGCATTTAAGAGTTTACTTTTGTATTCTGAGCTTTCACTTCCAGAATTTAAAGGCTCAATGGTAAGAAATGTGAACATTGTCCCCAGTACACATGTGTGTATTGATTTTGGTTTTTTTACAATAAGTCTTTTCTGTGGATATGACTTTTTAAGAGCTACTGAATATAATTGGGGGGGGCGGTACAACTTTGGAAATGTATTCATAGAATTCTGTTGTTACCATTACAAATAGTCACTGTCCATGAGTAGCATCATATAATAGCAAAATCAACAAAGGCATGACAATTTCATTTATAGGTATATAGTCCTCTTTCTATGAACTTTATGGAACGCCAGAATCAATACAGCATAACTAGTATAGTGATGGAGACTGTGCTGGAATCTTATTTAAATAAAATGATGTAGTTGGATATTATATAACACTGGGCCTGTCTGTGGGTACTTTCTTGGAGAAGCCTTGACACTGTTGCTGCTAGAGGATGGGCTTCCATGGGGGTAGCAAGAGGGTACGAATGAGACAGGACTGCCGGAAGTGGGATACCGACCTCTTCAATTGTCACTCCAGAGCCACCTTACGCTTGCAAACTCACTGGGTTCTGCTGCCAGATTTTCACCTGATGAATGCTCCTTCTTTCTTCAGACTTTCCTTGACAGACTCTGAGCCACCCCATCGCGTGCCTCTTACCCTTGATCTCCTTTTTTCTACGCTTCACTCTGATGTTCTTGTCTTCTGCAAACCTGACATGTGTAATTTGTTTCCCACCCAGCGCCTGACAACAGCACTATACTGAAGCTCTGTCTTAGTGCCTGACTACTAGCTGACACGAATCCATAGGCCTTTTCTTTTGTCCTCTGCCCCAGCTTGCAATCTTAAAAAAGAAAAATGGCATCCAGTGGGCCCCATCTTATCCTCGTTATTCCATATTACCTCTATTAAAGCAAGATGACTGCAATTCATGGAAATTGCAGGGGTTCCTTGATCATTGCTGCCCATACACATGCCCCTTAGGAGCAAGCCAGCTTGTCTTCTTCTTAGTATATCCTAAATTTATAATTACTTACTAGGGGGTAGGGGTGCTTGTCCTAGGTGGTGTCAGTAAGGTCCACACAGCCCTAAAACTATAAAAATGGTACTTTAGTTCTTATACCAAGGGAAATATCCCTGGTTTATGGGACTATACTTCTCTGCCTCACTGAAGATACAAACAGGTACTATTTGTTCAGTGGTTTTAGCAGAAGGGCTTAAACCACATATCAAAGATTAGTTTATCTAGGTCCACTTAACCAGTAGTAGATTTGAGGATTTCATCTGCCTTCACAGGCAGAAAGATAGAAAATTTTGAAAGGTTGGGGCCCTGTTTTCTATTCCGTACTTTAGCCCCTTATTAGAGTTAGATTACCTCTCTCTTACACATCTGTAATCACACATATAAAAGAGCTTTTTAATCAACTTTGAGAATTTAAACAGGTCCTTGGTATGAGTATATAGTTGAGCTCAATGCCTAACCCAGTTCTGTGAAAACTTTCATTAGGAGGTAATGCTCATCTCCTCCCATCTGCCTTAGGCAGAACTGGTTCCAGGCCAGTGGGAGGAATTCTCATCTTTTCTACCAACTCCAGAGGAGAAATAAGGTCTGTGTCATCACTATGATTGATGACGATATCATCATAATATACACTTGCTCCATTTATATGCCAGAGATAGTCCCGTGTCATGGAAGGAGGTGGAACCTTATCAGCAAGATACCGCTCCTGGTTGAAAGATACAAGATGTGATAATTACCCTAGATTCAACAGGTCACGTTTTTATAAAATTTATACTCCTTTTCAAGGAACAGGGATGGTCTTAGGAGCTGCCCTTGATGAGAACATGGTGCTTCTGTCTCCATGTACTCTACCAAATCTTTTTGGTGGTTATCACCTTCATGCTTCTAAGCCTATCTTTTAAAAAGATTAATTCCCATTATCTTAGAAAGAAAATAAAAGCAACCATAGCTAAAGAAGAAGCTATTTTTTTACTTAAACCTGACAGGTTTATTGATCTATGCTTTGACTTTCCTATGCCCTTCACAAACTGAGTTTCTCTTTTTTAACACATGGCTTGCCTCTTCCTAGCCTCCTGTTAATAGCATTGAATGTGAGAAACATTCATTTTGGTATTTAGCTGTGAATTTTTACTCTAGCCTTTCTTTGTGTTAAAAATAAAAATAAATTAAACCATGTAATATATTAACACCTCTTAAGAATTGAGAATGTTTCCATGTTAATCTAATTCTTCTTGAAGGTCCAAATTTTAGTTTCATTTTGAAATATAAAATATGTCTTTAAATGTTGTCTGGGACTGGTAACGTACTAGCAGAAGTACTGTGTCAGCTACCTTATGTAACTGACCACAGCATCTCCCAAACTATGTAGAGAGCCTGAATCTTCCTAGGACTCATAAGACATAACCTCTGGCTGGAAGGTCATGCAAACATGTCATTCCAGTCCAATGAATGTAACTGTAAATGTTTTGCAATGTTGAACTGAGTCTTTAAAGAAGCCCAGGAAACTTGGCTACATTGGCAAATTTTTTAGCCTCATTTGCAGAGTGGAGAAAAGAATAAAGCACTGTGTGTCAAAAGGAGCACAAATAAAAATGACAGACTGGCTGAGAGGTTCAGGTAAAATTCCACTCCACATTTCTTTGCTTCTCACTACAGAGGTAATCTTGACAACAATTTACAAATCATATTAATTCATGTTTTAAATCTACTTTGGGAGATGAGTATTTCATTTTGTGAGAAGAAGTCAAACCTTAAGTTTTTTAAAACAGATTTTTTTTAAAAAAAGTGTGGCCTAAGCATTTTTATTTACTGGAAAATTTATTGTAACTGAATGAGCAAACCACTTTTATAAGCCATCAAATGTGAGTATTCAAATTATAATATTTTACAAAACTCATTTTTATAGTGCTGTTTGGCAAAATGCAATTTTATCATCTCTTTGGGAAGATGTTTTAAGCTAATAGCCATTCTTTACAATCTGAAAATGAGGGACATGACTTTGAAAACTCTTGTGAAGGTACTATTGTTGTGAAGTAGTAATCAAAGAAGGTCTCTGTTCCCAAATGTTGCCCCCTACCACTTTTTCCTTCTGTTTTCATCTTCACTTTACTACATCTTATGTCTTCAGTGATGAGATGGTGTGGAAGAGAGAGAAGAGGGCCTGAACAGTAGGACTGAATGATCCATGGGAGCAAATGTGGTTTATTACAGAGTAGAGCAATTATAAATTAGGGATGGAGGAACTGTATCATATTGCACATTTTTTCACATTTAACATTTCTGAAATTGGGGTATATCTTAAAATCATTGGCCTGTCAAAGTTTAATAACTGTTTTGTCTTTCTTAGTAGTACATGAAATAATGGTAAATATTACAATTGAAGGCATCTTTGAATCACTGAAGTATTTAAGCAGCTCTGGGAGCTATTCCCTCCATATCACAAGAAAGTAAAATTAACAGAGGAGAAAGGAAAAGGAAAGAGTTGTAGATGGGGGGAGAGAGAGTGGGGAAGAAAGAAAGAAATATGGCTGCTTCATGTTAAAATTATCTAGGGAGGTTATAAAAATGCCACTCCTTCCCCCACACAATGCAGTTAAAGCAGAGTCTCTGGGAATGGGCCCAGTATTTTGTAAGAAGCTCCGTAGGTGAGTCTGATGATCAACCAGAGTTGAAAAATCACCTCGGTAAGGAAATTGATGAGCTCAGGAAAGGGGACTTACCTCAAGGGAGTTTGTAATGATGGGAGCATAATTTCTACCCTGTAGTTGTGAGAATCATTTAAAAGATATCAAAGTATCTTGAAAATCCTAAAGAACTAAACTCTAGTGTATGGTATTACTATTACTAATTAAACATGGTAAAATTACTGAGGATAAAATTCATAGAACTTGAATTACATTGAAGTGATTTAAAAACGTATGCCATCAAATGTCTATAATTATTTCATGAATAGTCCCTCAACTGTATCATAGTCTTCCTAAGCACAGTGGTCTGTATTTTTCTTCCTTATCCTCCTCATCACATTCATCACAGTATTTGGCACTATTTGACTAAAGTATAGCACTACAATATAAATCTATACTTTAGGAGACTTAATCATTCCAGAAGAATTTGTTTTCTATCCATTTAATCACTTTTGCTCTTGTTTTTAAATTTTCTCTAATTTCAAGTGCAGCAGCCAAAGCTGGATAGCACTCTTTAATGAAAATCTAACTAAAACAAATTATTACAGTACTATGTTTTTTTGTGTTTTTTTGAAACAGAGTCTCACTCTGTTGCCCGGGCTAGAATGTGTCAGCCTAGCTTATTGCAACCTCAAACTCCTAGGCTCAAGCGATCCTTCTGCCTCAGCCTCCCAGGTAGCTGGAACAACAGGCATGCATCACATGCCCTGATAATTTTTTCTATTTTTAGTGGTTTGGCTAATTTCTTTCTCTTTTTAATAGAGACGGGGTCTTGCTCTTACTCAGGCTGGTCTCAAACTCCTGAGTTCAAGCACTCCTCCCACCTCAGCCTCCCAGAGTGCTTAAGGATTATAGGCGTGAGCCACTGCACCTGGCCAAGATTCTATGTCTAGTCCTCAAATTATGGTTTCAGTATTTGATTTAAAATTGTGGATTCCCAGCACATTAGGCATATTTGTAATTTGAATATTATTAAGAGAAAACATACAAACAGATAACTTTTAGGAATATTTATGTGACTGCTCATTCATTACCTTTCAGGTAAATAATAAAATGCTAACTCTATAGGTTAGTTTACTGAAATCTGAGCATAATCTTTTATTCCTAAAATTCCTCAAGATTAATAGGGATCAGAACATCAATTCACAAATTCGAGATAATATGGAGATAATTAGATATATAGATAATATAGAGATAGTTTGCCTAACTAGTTTAAGATGCCAGTCTCTTTTATTATTAATAGGCTTCACCTGAGTACCACAGGCAAACAGCTGCTAGGAAAATATTTTAAATGCAAATAAAGTAAAATACTAGGAATATTAAAAGTGGTTTACCTTTTAAATGTACTTTCTCTATGAAGATCCTTTTCCAGAGAGTGTAGACACAGATGTAGTATAATTAAGAGTCAGGAGAGTAACTTCAAAAGTCTTGGATCACTCCAAAATCTTGGTTACTAGCCCACTGGTTTCTATTTTAACTGGAGTTGGAAGTACTCTTAAAGACCTCCACATTTGACTGGATCCAGAATGGTTCTGAGGAAATGAATGCCCATAACTTCCTGATGCCTAAAACTTCCTAGCATACTTGAATGCATTACTTACATGCCAATGCTAATAAGCATCCTTCCTGCTTACTTTAACTTGTTCAAACTAGGAATGCCCTTAACTTGAAAAACGTGCCGGTTGGTCATTTCTCTTGAGTTCTTCAACATAGAGTGTGTCTCAACTTCAGATACAGGGTAGGAATGGCCAGCTTAGAGCACAAGTTTGAATATTTTTAAGTCTTAGGCAGCTTCTTAACATTTTGTGGTTGTTGTTCCAAGAAAAATTTCTACTCAAAGAAAATTAATTATATCTAGGTCTTTTAGAAAGAATTAGAGCAAACAAAATAAACACTAATGAAATAATAAAGCATCCCCAGTTGGAGAGGATCTAGTGTTTTTATTTAGTTAAAGAGACCTAAAAGATCTCAGAGAATCCAGTAACTTCATTATGTAGATTCCGAGGCCCAGAAATGTAAAGTGACTTTTCCAAAGTAATACTGCTATTTAGTGACAGAATCATAACTAGAAGCCTTCAATTCTTTTAATAGGATGTGCTTTGTGTACTTATCCTTTAAAATTTTTTCTCAAGTTTTTTCTTAAACTAGTTAGCAGAATATACATAAATAAAATATCATCAAAGGTGTGTGTTTATACTCAGTAAGGTTCTTTTGGGTGCAAGTAGCAGAAACCAATTAACAAATCAATTTAGCCAAAAAGCGGGGGAGGGAGAATTTAAGAAGGATCCCACAATATTTCTCAGAATCCAAAGAAGAGCTGAACAAAATGGTCAAGTCAAAGGTAAAACCTGGATCATTGCAAGGCCTTCGGTAAAGTGAGTTTGTGTGGCTTCTCTTTAGAGTGCTGGCATGACCATGTCATTCAAGTAATATAAGTCCTTTAGGTGAAAATTCCAAGTACAGGAGAGAAAATAAGCGTGGGCACACACCAAAAGCCATTGCTAAGGCCATTCCCACCACCTTCAGTGCCCTTCCTTTTCACTTGACTTCCCAGTCCTACCCATTTTTCAAGGTCTAGCACAAACATTGCTTTCCTTATCAAAACTTTTTGATCCCCAGCTAGACATAATCTGTGTGTGTGTGTAATCCTAATACTTTGTGTATGTCTCTGCTTTATAAGCCTTAACACATTCTACTTTGTCCAAGAGAATCCCACAGCCCATATAGAAAGACCAGTAGATGCTCAGTTAAATTAAAAGATAGGAAATTATAATAAATGATACCAGCATGCATTCATATCTGCCTTAAACATTTTATCTTAAAACCTATAAATGTACGTCTAGTTGCTGATGTGCATATAGGATAAGACCTTTACTTTGAGTATAGGATGCTGATTGACCATTTGCTTTCTCTTTTTTTTTTGAAAATTAAACCCATAATGTAGTTTAGATTTTCATTTTGCTTTCTTCAAAAAGGAGTGAGAACTTGGACACAGTGAAACAATACAAATGTAGATTCTTTCTAGACTTTTATGCTTCTCTTCTAGTCTCCCCCATACCTAATTTGACAGTATTTTTTTAATAATTTACTTTTATATGAAGTCTTATGAAGGCATTCAACAGTTTTCATAAAAACACCCCCATATACTCATAACTTAATGGCCTTATATAATATATAATCAAATTGTGTAATTACTTAAACTAGCATAAACAAGTTCTAGCATAGTTTGAGCAGAAGTGTGTGGGAGTACTAGAGATTAACCTACTACCCACTAGTGTATATAGTGAGCTGTGGGCATCTGTCACTATATTTAATAGCGAGGAATTGAGAGCCTTTGTTAATACGGAGTGAGTTAAATGGAGGTATATTGAAAGTATTTTTGTTGCATTAAAATGATTTATATACTTGTCTTATCCTACTAGACCAGCAACTCTTAAAATGTGGTCTGGGAATTGCTGGGTAGAGGGGTCCCTGAGACCCTTTCAAGGGATCTGTAAGATCAAAACTATTTTTATAGTAATACTAAGCCTTTTTTGTTTTCTTCACTCACATTCTCTAAAAATGTCTTACTGTTAGTTTCTAATATGGTAGATAGCAATAGTTAAATCTCACATAAATAAAAGTTCCTTGGGGGGCATCTACACTTTTTTCCTTTTAAAAGCAAATTTACATTTATTAAGTTTTTCTAAAATGTATTTCTTTAATCGACAAATAAAATTTGTGTGTATTTATGATGTACAACATGATGTTTTGAAATATGTATACGTTGTGGAATGGCTAAATCAATCTGTTTACATCTATCCTTTTTAGGGATATATGCCACAGAATGTTTGAGAATGGCTATGCTCAGCTCTGTGCTCCTTGTGGGCAGGAACCATGTTTCATTAATCTTTGTTATTCCTGATGCGCCCTTGCATTATCTTTTACATAAAAGGCACTCAGTAAATATTTTATAAATGTATGAGAATAAAAAAGATGATTTTTAAAGTACTTGTGGTCTTTCACACTGGGCCAATAAAGTAGTTTTAAGTAAGGATTCCAGTATTAATGAATAGGATCTAGAATTAACAGCAGTAGTGTGTAAGTGAGTACTTTTAAATGCTTTTAAAATAAAATTTAATACCTTTCCCTTGAAATGTTAAGCAGTGTTTTGAAGAAGAAAAGCATGATTTAGTGGAAAGAATATGGGAACAGATTCCCATGAGGTTTTGAAAAGTATGTAAAGGCTTTTAAAAAGAGAGCAGACAAATCATGCCTAGGAAGCTGTATCATAAGAAAATTGGTCTTTGTAAAATTTATTTACAAGAAGGGGTGAATGGAAATGAACAGAGATGTGAGGTTATTTCAGAGCAGCCAATTGGTGGGAAAATTCTTTGTTGATGAAGACCTTTCCACCTTTCCTTTCACTTTAAGTACCATTTGAAAGCTATTTTAGGTATGAAAAGATATATGATGGACAGAAATTTATGGTTTGAGGAATTGAATTTTACTGCTTTGTGTTAGTGACCTTGATCAAAGAATAGCAAGGAGAATAGTGGCCAAGTTGAAATGGGCAAGTGCTTTGGACCTGCTTTCTGCCCTTTCATGTGTTATGGAGAAAGTTGATAGCGCACAACTTAACTAAAAATTAAATTCAGCCTGTGCACCTGGAGTAGGTATTGCTAAAATAAAGGGAAGCATTCTCTTATTAAAAGGTAGCTCTTTTAGTTTTCAACACTAATAAACACGTGTGTGATTAAATTATTTTCAGGGATGGCACTCTAGTTTAATTTTTAGAAGGATTAATTTGTTAGAAGATAACGGAATTTGAAAAATAAAAATAATTCATTTGTGTTCTTATATTGGACTTTCCTTGTACAGTTAACACACTTTATACATCAAATTTCCAAATCTTTCTATTGTTGTGATGACTGAAGAATTTTTCTTCATAGAACTTTCAGCTTCAGTGAGAGGCAAACTTAAATATAAGATTTGTTTATGCTTTAAGAACTTTTACAAATTTTAATCTTATTAAATAAATTCACTAATAAGAGGATATTATTTTTAGATTTTTTAATTAAATTTAATATAAAGTAAGTATGGCTTTTTAATTGTTTCCTTCTTGGCATGTTTTGGTATAAGGTATGCATGCCTCTCTTCACTGTCCTTTCCAGCCCTCTGACAGCCTCTACTTGAGATTTGTTGCATATGTTACATTGAGGGACCCTGGATATATTGAATACACACTGTGTGATTGTCATTAGTACAGTATAGCATCCCCTAGATTTTGGAGACAAATTCAAGAAAGGTCACTTACAAGAAAAATTTTTCTAGGCAGGGCCAGGTAGCTCACACCTATAATCCTAGCACTCTGGGAGGCCAAGGTGGGAGGATCGCTCAAGGTCAGGAGTTCGAGATCAGCCTGAGCAAGAGCAAGACCCCGTCTCTAGTGAAAATAGAAAGAAATTAATTGGACAACTAAAAATATATAGAAACAATTAGCCGGGCATGGTGGCACATGCCTGTAGTTCTAGCTACTTGGGAGGCTGAGACAGAAGGATTGTTTGAGCCCAGGAATTTGAGGTTGCTGTGAGTTAGGATGATGCCACAACACTCTAGCCCAGGCAACAGAGTGGGACTCTGTCTCAAAACACACACACACACACACACACACATATATATAAAATTTTAAAAACAGATGTTCTAGTATAAATCATGTAGGCATAGTTCTATATACGCTACAGGTGAACTGCATGCCTCCTGAAGACAGTACTGTATCTTAGTCATCTTTGACTCTATAATGCTGAGATGGTGCACTTTGCATAGTAGAGATTTTGTTAATATTAGTGGAGTGAATGAAGTAATTCTTTCTAAAAAGATGAATCATAAATGCATTGCTAATGAGCCAGCAGCTTTCCTGACTCTCTTCTGAAAATCCAGTTGAATTCTTGTGAACGAATGACTGAACCATAACTCTTCTAACTATAGTCAAACATTTCTAGGATGTAAAGCTGATGCCATTATGAGCATTCATGTATGAATTATATAATAAGGTAAGGTTTATCAAGTGACCACACCACAATGCTTGGTGCCCACTAGGCACACAGTCGGTGCTAGCTTCTGTTTGGTTTTTCTGTTTTCCCTAGGTTTTATGTCAGAGTCCCTATGAGAAGTACTAATGGTAGAGAAAATTGCCTTTTTGTTTGTACAAATAGTCATAGCAGTTAAAGATTCTGTTTTGACACACCCAAATTTATAATTCTGATGGAAAATAGAAATTAGAGCAGCTGTCAGGCTGAAATGGTACACAGTATAACCCAGACAATAGACTCATCCAGTTTTTCAGTGTTTTCTGGGCTGGCTGTTCTAGCCACAGTATATTCTAGAATTCTAATTTATTTACACACACACTCACACACACATCTTTGATTTAGTGTTTTAGACTAGCTGTGTTTTCAGAAGTTCCTTTTCTGCCAAAGATGATAGCCTCTGTATGCTTCAAAATTTTTAAAAGTTGATATTGTGCCCTTTTAAGCCACCTTATTTAGAGCTAAATGTATAAAAGCTGTTATTGACAAGGGGCTATAGCAGCCCAGTAAACAAACTTGACAGGATTTGTTTGTTATTAGCCAATAATAAGGTTTCTCTCTTTTCTGACCAGTGATGTTACTATAAATTTAATACTATTCCTTTTTTTTCCTTGATTTTTATTATTGATTATATTTGATTGTCATATTACTATGGTTAGTGTGTCAAAATACAATCTTGAAAATGATAAATGTTATATCTCTGAATATATGTATTTTTTCCCATTCAAGATAAGCTGTCATTGGAAGGAATAGTGGTACAAAGAGCTGAATGCCGACCAGCTGCCAGTGAAAACTACATGAGATTAAAAAGGTTGGTGTTTTGTATCTTTAAAATGATAACCAATATTTCTCTCTGGAGATTGAGATACATGTATTAGATTTAGATTGCCTATTAACTGCATGAAAACCATGGTTATCCTTGAAAGTATTTGCTTCAAAGGCTGTTTAGTTTTAAAACCAAGTAAGAGTTTCTTTGACACTAGGGAACTTTCAGAATCTGGGCTGTTTATTTGAGATATTTTAAGCTACTATGTTAATATATCTAGGAATCAAAGTTTTTAAACTATGTTTTCTAGTTGTCCAATCTTTATACCCTAAAGGCATGTAAAAAAGTCTTTTTACTACTTTATTTTCAAAAGCTGAAATTTTCCCATAATGAATATGTATCCCAAATACTGTCTTGTATAAAGCAAATATAGTTGTCAAAATATCATCCTATTCTCTTGATCCACAGAGAACTTTTTAAAAATGTATGCACTTTGTTAGAAATTTTGTTTCAGGGTCTGTCCCCTGCCCCTTTATTATTTAAAGATGATGGTTGCAAATTCTTGATACCCCAAATTTTATGACAAATAGTTAGCAGTTTTTTAAACCCTGAAGAAATATATTTTACCTGTTTCATATTTTCTTTTTAATGTATTTTAGCCCCTTGTGATTTAGACTCATGATTGTTCATTCATTTAGCACTTAATGTCTATCAGATACTTTCTTAGGAGCTACCGAAATAGTAGTGAACAAATCAGACAAAAATCTCTATTCTCACAGAGCTTTCATTTTAGCAAATGCTGGTAGTTGAGAATGAACTGCTGATATAGTAGTAGCCTCTTGGATAGCAGCATTCTCCTCTATAAAAGAGGCCAGGTGAGCTGGATTCTCTCTAAATTTCACATCATCTTTAAAATTTTTCCCATTTTCTCAATTAGATTAGACTCTGTCTCCTGAGAATGACACAATGAGACTGGTTTTCTTGTCCAATATTCCCTCTCATTTAAATGGCTCCCCAGGGCAAGTAAAAGGATGACAGTCAAAATGAAAATATTTTATAACAGGTTTGGAAAACACACAGAAGATGTTTCTTTCTTTGTTTTTAGCCTATAAAGTTTATTATATAATACAAGTCTTTTTGAAGATTTATCTTCTTGAAAAAGGCAAAATCTGGTTACCAAGCTGCTTGCCAAGATCTTTTTTCTGTGGCCCTAATTTTCTTTACGGGGTTTCTAAAGATTTCTGATGATGAAATCATGTAAGTCATCTACTGTGTTTATAAAATACAAAATCCTTTTTTGTATTTAAAAAAAAAAATCCTTTTTTTTTTTTTTTTTTTACCAAAAACATAAAAATTGGGCCAGACATAGTATCTCACACCTATAATATTAACACTTTGGGAGGACACAAGGATTATTTGAGGACAGAAATTCGAGACCAGCCTGAGCAAGAGCGAGACTTCCTCATCTCTACAAAAAATAAAGAAATTAGCTGAGTGCTAACACCTAATAGTCCCAGCTATCCAGGAGGCTGAGGCAGGAGAATTGCTTGAGCCCAGCCTGGGCAATAGAGTGAAAAGCTGGCATCAAGGCCGGGCGCGGTGGCTCACACCTGTAATCCTAGCACTCTGGGAGGCCGAGGCAGGCAGATTGCTCGAGGTCAGGAGTTCGAAACCAGCCTGAGCAAGAGCGAGACCCCATCTCTACTATAAATAGAAAGAAATTAATTGGCAAACTAATATATATACAAAAAATTCGCCGGGCATGGAGGCGCATGCCTGTAGTCCCAGCTACTTGGGAGGCTGAGGCAGTAGGATTGCTTGAGCCCAGGAGTTTGAGGTTGCTGTGAGCTAGGCTGACGCCATGGCACTCACTCTAGCCTGGGCAACAAAGTGAGACTCTGTCTCAAAAAAACAAAAAAAAAAAACACAAAGCTGGCATCAAAAAAATAAATAAATAAAATAAAAATTGTTTACCCTTTCAATTATGCTAAAAGACTAGCCATTATATACACTCATGTACTGCATAGTGATGTTTTGGTGGTCCCATAAGATTATAACACTGTATTTTTACTGTAGCTTTTCTATGTTTAGATACACAAATACTTAACCATCATGTTATAATTGCCTACAGTAGTCAGTGAAGTAACATGCTGTACATGATTGTAGTCTAGAAGCGAAAGGTTATATATACCATATAGCCTAGATGTATAGTAGACTATCCCATCTAGGTTTGTGTAAGTACAATGTGTGATGCTCACGTAACAACGAAATTGCCTAAGGGTGCATTGCTCAAAATGAATCCCGATTGTTAAGCAATGCATGACTATATTTTAGTCTTTGCTTAAGTGGCTTAGAGAAGGAAACAGGTGATTCAGGAGGATCATGTGAGTTTCTGAAGTAGATGATAGATGACGTAAGTCTTGAAGACTGATATTTTTTTTAACCAAGTAGAAAAAGACGGGTTGAGAACATTCATAATAGACACGCAGACACAAAGACATGAAGGTACCTCAGCAACCTGCATGTAGTTCTGTAAGCCTGGACTGCAGGATTTGTTTGAGATGGTGGCAGAAGCTCTAGCCCGGACTTTTTTCTTGAACTCGAAACTTGTAAATACAAAAGCCTGACTGGATGTCCAATAAACATTTTAAATATGTAAGAAACTGAATCTTTTTCCCCCAAAACCTGCCCCACCAGCAATCTTTCTCATGTGAGTTAATGCCAACTCTGTCCTCCCATTTTCTCAATTCAAAAACCTTGGTTACATCTCAACTCTTCTCACATCCTACACTCAATATGTCAGAAAAATCTTGTTGATTGTACCTTCAAAATATTATACATCTAGTCTGACCGTTTGCCACTACCCACATGAGCTGCCATTATTTCTCACCTGGATTACTGCAGTAGCCTCCTAGTAGACCTGCTTCCACCCTCGCCCCACTATACTCTTTTCTCAGCACAGTAGCCAGAGTAGTTCTTTTAAAATCTAAGCCAACTCAGCCATAAAAAAGAATGAAATCATGTTTTTCACAGCAACATGGATGAAACTGGAGGCTGTTATCTTAAGTGAAATAATTCAGAAACAGAAAATCAAAATACTGTATATTCTCACTTATGAGTGGGTGCTAAATAATGTGTACACATGAACATAGAAAGTGGAGACTCTGGAGGGTGGGAGGGTAAAAATTACTTAATGGATATAAGGAACACTATATGGCTACACTAAAAGCCCAGAATTCACATCTGGAGCACATCACCTCCTACTAAACTATATAGTTTACTTATATTTATTGCCAACTTCTCACTACTGCGGTTTAAGTTCCCATAAAAACAAGGTTTGTTTTTTTGTTATTTGGTTTTATTTTTTGTGCTTGTCTATTTCATTCACTCGTACATGAACACACATGTGTTTAGAATAGTTCATGACACATAGTAGGTAGTCAATAAATACTTGGTGGGTGAATGAATGGCAGAAGATAAGTTTTGAAATGGTAAAGAGTCTTAGGTGCTATGGTAAGAAATTTTGACTTTGTGTGTGATTAGCTATTAGGGAGGAAGTGAAGAATTTTTAGTTTGGTAGTGTGATAAGGGATTTGTGTTTTATTTAGATTGATCATTCTGGTCATAGTATAAAGACTAGAAGCAGGGAGATAAGCTAGAGGCTGCCGTGATAACCCAGGTACAAAATGACTAAATGACTAAACAAGGTGGTTTTAGAAGAGAAATAAGAGTCTAGATTTTGAGGATAGTTGGAGGTAGAGTCATATGACTTAATAAACTCACCTCAAACTTCCATAGTTGTGGGGTGGGGGATTTTTCTCACTGTTGGTGACTCTTATGGCCTGGGTGTACCTCCTGCTGTGAACATCCCAGATTGGCTCCCTCTTGTCCTATGAATTGCACTGGAATATTTACACTGATAAGAAGAGAAGGATAATTACTCAATATTATAACTGATTTGAAAATTTGAAGCTCAAATTTTTTTAAAAATCAGAAGATACTGTTCTTATTCCAGAGAGCTTACAGTCATTTAACTTGGAGACACACACACACACACACACACACACAGGATTATCTAGAGAGTCTGTTTACTGACAATGTAGTGCGGAAAGGAATAGAAATGTGCTATTGAATGTAAAATGGAAAGGCAGATTTCCAGATGTAGGTGCCATTAAAGTAAAACTGCTTGAGAACAAAATTGGCAAGTCTGAGATATCCTATACCTAGATATTTCACACATGCACTCAGAATTTTTCAGGGGCTCTTCCTGACTGCCTACTAAAATTTTAGTGACATTCAGGTTTTTTATAACCTGGCTCTTGTCTCACTTTCTGGTTTCACTTTCAGCTATTTCCTTTTACATAGACATCACATATTATAATTATATCACACTACAAGTTGTTATCCCAGATATGCTAGGCACTTTCCAATCTTATGCATTTGTTACTTACATGCTCGAACATCTTATCTACCCTCTGCCAAGATCCTTCTGAGTCTTCACCAACCCAAGTGTTACTCAGCATAACATCCTCATAGTTTCCATTCCCTACCCCAGTTAGGATCTTCCATTCCTCCTTTCTACACTTCCATAAACTTATTTTTCCTTAATGTTATATATAAATGTCTGCATTTCTACTTTTTAGGTAGTACATAGTTCCATCTTCTCAAGATTATGTACTTCGTGAGAGCAGAGACTTTGAGTTTTATTTTTATTTTTCCTTCTTACTCTCCCTCTCTCCTTTCCTTTCTTCTTTGTGTTCTCAGCACTTAGTATAGTGCGTTACAAATAATATCTATTATAAAAGTATTTGTTGGTTGAAGTGGATTGAAATAGAAAGGAGTGGTAGGGATAGGTACGGAAACATGGGATCATAGCATTGAGCTTTATTTAACTTTTTTGCGCAGAACTACTCGAATCCTGGACTTGATTTTTCCATTTTATTCATATACACATTTGTGTGCATGTGCATGCACACATGCCTTGCTCTAAGAGGGAGAAAGTGATTACAACACGCATATACAAACATTCCCTCAACAATAAAAAT